CCGCTCTTCGGAGTACAGCCAGCACCGCTGCCATCCTTGATCCTTTTATGGAGAGAAGCAGACCCTGTTTCCCTCATAGACTCTCAGCATCCTACTAAGACCCTTTGGCAAAACCCTAATAACCTGTCCAAAAACAGGTCCCCACCCCGTGGTGGAAAGAGGGAATAAAACTTCCCGTGACCCAGCACACGTAACACCACGAGTGTCGGCACGTGCTTGGAGCTGCCAGTGTAGCCTGTGCTTTGCGAGTGGGGGAGACCAAAGGGGCAGCTCGGAAATGCCCTATGTGGTTGCTGGGAGGATGGACGCAAAGTGCCGGGTGCGCGTGAGCAGCTTCACCAGGCGGCTGCCGTGTCGGTGCCAGGTGAAGTCTCCCCCAGGGAATCTACACACAAAAGCCCTCAGGCTCCTCAGCAGCAGCCTCTGCTCCCTTGATGTCTTATGTGCAGTGTCTACCAGGGCGTTCTTTTCTTTCAGTCTTTGGGCTTTTAAGAGAAAGGGACGTGTGGGAGTGGAGAGTGGACAGGGATATGACCGCTCAAGCCTCACGGTTGCAAGCAGTGTTCCCTCTAAGGTGTGTGGTGCGTCCGGCCACGCAGGCGCACTTATGCTGTGCTAGAAGGCACGCCTGCGCGGCCCTGCGCACTGCACAGCTTAGAGGGGATGCTGGTTGGGAGTCCCTGTTCACGTGGCCTGGTCACGTCCGCTAAACTGTCCCAAATAAGCCCACGGGCCAAGCTTCTCTGTATTCACGGCACCAACTTTCTAGTGAAAAATAGCCCCCAGTTTTACTCTTAAACCCCCCTGCTCCTCTTCCTCTCCCTCCCCCCCGCATGAGGATCCGCGGTTTCAAGCTGGTTTAATTCACACGTATGTTTCCCATTGACTGACGCTTGGTGTGTGTTCTTGTTCAGGGGTCCTGCGTGCTGTGGTGGAGGCAGCTAAGTCTGGCGGGTCTGTTCTCAGCCTGTGCGAGATTGGAGATGCCATGATCATGGAAGAGACCGGCAAGATCTTCAAGAAGGAGAAAGAAATGAAAAAAGGTGAAGCCCTGTCGGGGGCAGGGCTTCCAATGGGAGCTTTTTGCTGTGTTGTCCCTGGTTGGGGCAATGGGCACACGCAGAGATGCAGAGGCAGGTGGCTCTGCAAGTCCAACCCACGTTAGTCACTGCTGGAAAGCTTTGAGGGGCATCAAACCCCGGCCTGCCCTCAAGCCTCTGCCATAGCCCCTCCCCATGCAGCGTCCGGCAGCATGAGCCTCATGCTGTAGTTTACTGCTGTCCTCCCTGCTGGGGCAAGGCAGTCTCCAGTTGGACCAGGTCGTCTGTAGCTGACTACAGAGCATTTTGCCCAGGGCTCTGTGGCTTCTGTCTCTGGTCACCTGAAGTCTCTCTTCCGTGTGGTTTGTCCACTTGTGTCTGTGTTGACACCAAGAGAGGCCAGCGTGCTTAGTTCTGTGCCCAAAGGGCCTGGCAAAGAGCACAGTGCAACCCTTATCAAATTGCTGCTGCCATTGCCTTGCTGCATTAGGGTCCTGCCTTGGACACCTGGAGTAGCCATCCCCAGAGTCATCAACAGCGGGTGGAGAAACTCATCTCACGGCCTTGACTTGCACAGGTGGAGGTAGAAGGCAAGACAAGGTCACCTGTAGAGCCCAGAGAAGAATTTGGGGCTCCAGTGTTCGGGTCACACTGCCTTGTGGTTTCCTCTGCTTGTCTCTCTGCCTGTCACAAGCAGCCAGACTGCTTCAGGCTCTCACGTGAGGAGTGAGCTCTTCCAGGCGAGAGCGGTGTGTTCAGTTTAAGGCAGCAGTAAAAGGACAGTAAAACAGCAACTGTGGAAATCATGGGGTTGGGAGACAGCAACAAAACTGGTTCTGTGCCAGAGCTGGCCTGATTCAGCCATGTCCAAAGCAGTCGTGCAGGTTTACGGTGATAAACCCTCCTGCCTTCAAGGCAGAAAAGGCGCCAGGTGTTTACTTTATATGCAAATGATGACGCCGCCCCTGCTGCCTTCGGGCTGGAATGTGGCAGTAGCACAGCGACAGAGTGGGGCTACAGCTCGCTCTGTTAGTGCAGGGGAAAGTTGCTGAGCTGGAACTTGACCAGTGCATGGCACCTTGAATGACCGCACGCAATCAGAGCATGGGTGTTTTGCATCTCAGGTGCCAGACGGTGCTTCTAGCAGTTCCACAATCCCTAGAGCTGAAGGAAGAGGAACAGATACTGGCCCCCTCCTCTTTGTCACACCCTGGTTGTTTTTACATGTCTCCAGCTTAGCTGGAGAGCTGAGGGCATGCCCTGGGGCTGCCCCCAGGTCCTTCCATACCATACTTATGCCAGCCAGCTACAGAGTGTTAGACCCCATGTGTCTGGGACAGGTCTCGGCTTTAAGTCTGTACTGTTTGCACCCCCATGCAGGTTGTCTACTGTGCTCTGACTTTGAAGCAGGGGAGTGGGGGGTGCTTCCTGCTAGCACAGTGGAGTCAAAATCTGCCCCCTGGCCATGTGCAGATGGCCTGATTTCACGGCCTCTCTCCTTGCAGGCATTGCCTTCCCAACGAGTATATCAGTCAACAACTGCGTGTGTCACTTCTCGCCGCTGAAGAGTGACCAAGACTACATCCTCAAAGATGGAGACCTGGTCAAAATGTGAGTCTGCTGGTGGCTTCTGGCCTCTGCTGTTCCCTGCTACCTGGTACCCAGCTCTCACCTTGACCAGCTAGCAAAGCCTGTGAAATGGGCCTTGCTCCTTTGATGCCTGTAGAGGTCACAGAACTTTTCGTGAGCCATTTGGCCAAGTTGGTGATTTAATCCTCTTTGCATTACAGTGACCTGGGAGTCCACGTTGATGGCTTCATAGCAAATGTAGCGCACAGTTTTGTCATCGACGCATCAAAGGTAGGTGTCTCCTCTAAGTCTCGCATGCTACTTTCAGGCCAGGTAAAGCAGAGGCAGGATGAAAAGCCCCTGTGTGTGAGTGCCAGCAGCTCCAGGCAGCAGAGCAGGATATGGCTGAAGTCTGCTGTAAAGGCTCCTGGGAGGTAAATTGTTCAAGCAGTAACAGTGAGCAAAGGGCATCATGAAAAGTGCTCCCGCTTGTGTCTGGTGAAGGGTTCATGGGTAGACACTTGTGCAAGACAATAGGACCCATCGGGAAGAGGCGATGAGTCTGCTCAGCTGCTGTGACTGCGCTCCCTGTCTGCTCTGCCAGGAGAGGCCTGGGTGCACAGGACAGAGTGGCCTAGTGGGTTTGCCTGCATCTTCTGCTGGCTGAATTGGTGACCCCTGTTTCTTCTGCCCCCTTGGGAAGCTGCTGCTCTCTCCTCTGCAGCCCAAGGCCTGAGGGGACTTGCAGGGCAAGTTAAAGCCTTCTCTGCCCTCCATCATCCTAGTGAAACTTGTCTCCACTGGTTGCACACGGTCAGGTCTGCAGAGTATAGACAGCCCCAGTGCAGCTGGTGTGATGCTGCTCCATCTATGCAGGCAGCGTTCACAGGACCAGCAGCCTTAGCGCAAACGTGGGAAACTCAGCATTTTGAGCTGGGCTTCAGCGTAGTTTTACTGTGGCCCTTGGAGGAGGGTGTCGGGATAAGAGGTGTAGAGGGTTTCCTGCGGGCTGGATACAGCGTAAACACGAGCTAGTGGAAGGCAAGGCTGAGAGTGGCATTTTGGAGTCCTTACTGTGTTGGGGATAGAGCAGCTTCTTGGCTTTGTCCTGTACAGCGCTAATGTCAGGCAGCAGTGGATGTAATGTACAGGGCTCCCGTAGACCTCTCTTAAGTGACGGCACTCTAATGGAGCAGAGCATCCTGGAGGATTAGCTGTCCACACTGTGGCTCTGGGACTCAGGCGTGCAGGGAGAGGATTGGGTCTGGACCGTTTCCATGCCTGGATCTGTGCAGGCAGCAGGTCCCTGTGGAAAACCACACGCTTCCAAACCCACCCTTTTCTTCCAGGAAAACCCAGTGACAGGCCGCAAAGCTGATGTCATCCGAGCGGCTCACCTCTGTGCCGAAGCTGCCCTGCGCCTGGTCAAACCCGGGAACCAGGTGAGTGAGGCTGTCGGGGCAGAACTGCAGCCCCCGCACTTGTCCTGCCACCCTCTGAGGGTAGGAGTTAGCATGTGACCTCCTCTGGGATCAGTCCACCACGTGGGGAATCTGCTCAGCTGCCTGCCGTACTTGGGGAGCCCCACAGCAGCTGGTGCAATTTGCTGCAACGTTGATGCTGGGAACAGTTTTGTTGCCCTGTCTCTGCCACTGACTTGGGGCAAGTCAATCTAATCTCACTAAGCCGCACCAGCAAATGGAGATGTAATCCCTCCCTTTATCCCTTTGTAGTGCAGCTTCCTGGGTGCTCGTACTGCGCTTAGCTTTGGGGGGGCCCGTGCTGCTGCTGGGAGATGGATTGCTTTTGTCTCTAAAGCAATGTCTCATTACCTCTGCTGAAGACTTTGACTTGTGGGATTGGCAGGTGGCAGGACCCCATGCGGTGGGGGAGCCTGCTGATGACATCACCATGCAGTCGGACCCGGTCCTTTGTATATCTGCCGTTGAGGCTCGAATCTGACCTTGTCTCCCTCTGCTCTTATTTCCCAGAACACACAAGTGACAGACGCCTGGAACAAAATAGCCCATTCATTTAACTGCACACCCATCGAAGGTAAAGGCCGCAGGGTGGAGCAGAGGGTGGTAGCGTCATTCAGTCCATTGAGGCCAAGTCCTGAAAAGTGTCCACAATTATGAGCCCTCAACACTGTCATGGCCATAAATGCCACAAGCCACAGCTCCAGCACGTCCCTGTGGAAGCTCCCGGGGCTCATCTCTGTCTGTTCTGCTCCCCTTGGAGAGCTGTGATTTTGCAGAGGTGGGAGCAAGGGCTGCAGCACCCTGTCCTGTGCTCATGGGACTGCCTGCAAACCCTTGGGTGAATTGCTGGCCACCGTGCTTCTGGCTGCCCCTTGCACGCCAAAGACAAACATCTTGGCAGTAGCAGAGCGTTCAGAGAAACTTGGCTGGAAGAGGCTGGGTTTTAGCTGCCCTATCCATCAAACTCCCAACTGGCCTGCGCTTTCCGCAGCGCTGCTGGCTGAGAACAGGCAGTCGCTGTGGAAGCATCTTAGAAAGGTTCAGGCCGGGAGCTAGTGACAGGTCACCTGTCTGTGGCATTTAATGCAGCCATCAACCATGTCTCTGGGCCCTGTTTGCCAATGCCTCACTTCAGCAATGTATAACTCAGCCCCAATCAGTTAAGCTGTGTTAATCACCTCGCCAGTGTGGTCTGAGTTTCCATGAGGGAGCTGCCATTCCACACGGGGATGGTGTGCAGGGCTTTGCTGCTTTCTCCGGGGGAGAAACACGGCATCAGCTGCAGCGAGGAGGTGGGCTCTCGCGCTGGCAGGGGAATCCAAGCATCTACTGTTTTGGAAACAGTCTTGTGAAGTAATTACCCGGCGGCTGGCAGAAGCTAGGGATGCAGTGCAGGGGAAGAGTCCAGGCTGGCTCTGCCCCCCACTTGGCAGCAGTCCTTGCAGGGTGTGGGCATGCTGATTTCCTTGCTGGGTCAGTGGCTTGGGGAGCAGAAGAGGGATGGGGGGTGGGGGGAATCTGTTTAGGGACTGGAAGGAAAACGCACATGCTCCTTCAAACTGTGACTGGGGCACTGGGCGGGTACTTGTGGATTTGCCCCTGAGTCCTTGGGCTCTACTAGTCTGAGCGCTGTGTTGGGAGCTGGCAGCAACAGGGCTCATTTCCACCTGTGTTTTTACTTGAGGGTTGTGGTCACTCTGCTGTCCAGGGAGAGCTGGCTATGAAGTGCTTAAAGACCCCCAATGCAGGAGGCCAGGGAAGGGCAAACTGTCTCACATCTCGGCTTTGCCATTCTCCCTGGAGCAGAAGGGTGAAGCGCGGAGACCAGGGCCTTAATAATGCAAGTCACAGTGGGGTGGGTTCATGGCTGTGAGGCGCTCATGGATTTTCTCGTGGCAGGGATGCTGTCACATCAGCTGAAACAACACGTGATCGACGGGGAAAAAACCATCATTCAGAATCCGACAGACCAGCAAAAGTGAGTCCCCTCTGGGGTGGCTGTTCCTGGGAGCTGGGAATTGCTTGACAAATTGTTTTGTCTCTCAGGTCCTGGGCTGTGGTCCTGGGTGTGCGGTGGGGGGTGTGTTAGGTGTGAATCTTCCGCTCCCCATCCCCTTAGTGCTGTTGGGATTCTGCCTTTGCAGCTTGATTGGGGAAGTTGTTACTAAAAGTCGTTACCTTCTAAAAACTCAGCCCTGGCGCCCAGGAGTGGAATTGGTTTTGGTCCAGTTTGTAGGTGTTCCCATTGCTCAGTGAGCCTGGCTGCCAGCAAAAAGAGGCAGCTGTTGGCAGCTCAGGCAGTGGTTTTCTTGTGCGAAGTGAATGCACTTCACTAGGAGCAAGGTGGAGACCAGCCCCTCACATGAGTTGCCAAGGAGTTTGTAGGTGGTGATGGCTTGGGCATGTCTTGGACTTCTTTGGACCAGATGCCTGAAACATCATGTCCCTTCCTCTTCCAGCAGCACCTTCCCCCTCTCCTGGGTTGTGCCAAGGCTGGCGTGATTCTAAACATTACCTTTGGCTCGTAGGCCCTGAGAGACAGGTGCCCTGTTCTCACACTCCAAGCCCGGCCTAGCACAGGGGGGGGCCCACCTGGCACACTCGCTGTGCTCTGGTCACTGGCCAGACTTTTGCTTTGCAGGAAGGACCACGAAAAAGCTGAGTTCGAGGTTCACGAAGTTTACGCCGTCGACGTTCTCGTCAGCACTGGGGAGGGGAAGGTGAGTGCTGTTCAGCTCCATGCCTTGATGGCTTCAGAATGGCCACATGAGCAAAGCTCGGTGCTGAAAAGCAGCACTCTTGGGCCCTAGCTCCATCCAGGTCAGCTTGCTGTGCTAGCTGCTCGGGTCTTGGTTTCCTGACTTGAATGGTGGGCCAGGGCACCAAGGTGCAGCTAGGCATCTGATTCCAGAGGGCAGGGCTGTCTCCGTGACCTGCCTGGCTCTCTCTCTAGGCAAAGGACGCCGGACAGAGAACCACGATTTACAAGCGCGACCCCTCCAAGCAGTACGGCTTGAAAATGAAAACCTCCCGTGCCTTTTTCAGCGAGGTGGAGAGGCGCTTTGACACGATGCCATTCACTCTCAGGTACGTACGGGCACTGCCTCCAACCCACCTGGACCCTGGGACAGATGCGTGCAGCAGATCAAACCTTATTTATTCCTCAGTCCCAGTGGGAACAGGTCTTTGCTGCTGTTGAGACCCAAATGCCATGCATATGGAGGAGATGGCAGCGTCATACCCCAGCTCCGGCAGGCCCCACACAAAGTCACGTTTGTGAACGTCCTGGGCCTTGAGTGATGGGAGCCTGGGGCTGGAACAAGGGAAACTCTTCCAGCTGTGCTGGCCTCAATCTTGAATCTCTGCTGGTGTTGCAGCCAGGTTCCCAGGCTTCCCCTGCTCTTGGGAGGGCGGTGGGAGTTTGGGTTGTAGGCAGGGTTTGCGTTGAGGGCTGTGGCGCTTTGTCTCCCCTGCAGGGCGTTTGTGGATGAGAAGAAAGCCCGGATGGGGGTGGTGGAATGCGCCAAACACGAGCTGCTCCAGCCTTTCAACGTCCTCTATGATAAAGAAGGTGAGTGCTGCCTGGGCCAGAGAACAGTTCCCAATCCCCTGGGTCCTACCTGCCTTGCAGGTGCGCTGTCCAGGTCTGCCCATCGGGTGTGCTACCTGAGGGAGCAGAAGCAGCTCTTGGCCCACAGCCCCCTGGTTCTTGTATCTGTGGCACCATCGGAGTCCCTGGGTTGGTGACCATAGTCCCCCCCTGGCTGGAGCCCCCCCATGACTCTGCTTTCTGCTTCCCAGGGGAGTTTGTCGCCCAGTTCAAGTTCACAGTGCTTCTAATGCCCAATGGCCCCATGCGGATAACCAGTGGCCCCTTCGAGCCTGAGCTCTACAAGTCTGAGTTCGAGGTGCAGGACGCAGAGCTGAAGGTCAGTCCTGGTTCCACCAGGATTTCCCCCCAGACCGTGACCTTGGTGTCACCCCTTGGCTAGAACGGTCTCCCAGTTGGAGGAGACGGCTCCCTCCAGGATTGCCTGGAGGCTTGGGGAGGCATCCGGGGACAGGCCTCGAATGCAGTGTCCTGAACATCAGCAAAGCATTTTTTCATCACCCCACCTGGGACCGTAAATCTGCAGGCTGCCTTCATGGCAGTGGCAGCAAGAGCCCTCTGTCCAGGCACATGGGGGTGGGAACGGTTCTAGTCACCTACAAGCGGGTGGCACCTTTGTCACTGGCCCCAGTGGAGGCCTGGCTCAGTGAGGCATGTTTCCCCATCCTCCCCTTGCCGCCCTGCCCCACCCAGCAAAGCCAAGAGCGTGCCTCAAACTCCGCACATCTCCCTGTCCCCAGGCACTTCTACAAAGCTCCGCGAGCCGGAAGACCCAGAAAAAGAAGAAAAAGAAGGTAATGGGGCTGGGTCCTTGAGCGGCTGCATCTTGCGGGGTTATCACGTGATCCCATAACAGGGCCAAGCACAGCTCTTGTGCCCGGGTGGGGGAAGCACCATTGTCCACAGTGGTGTCGGGCCCATGTGGATGAAGGAGTGTTGGTGGCAGCAGGGATCCAGCTGCTGCTCCGGTCCCTGAGGGATGATGGGGCCACATCTGCCTGATAGTGCTTGGGTGTGACCAGGGTCTCCAAGGCCACGTGTTTGCAAGGGGCTGGAAGCAGCTGAATGGAACTGCACCCAGGTCCCAACAGCACGAGGGCGCCCGTGGGCTCGGCTGGCTGCTTTGCAGCCTCAAGGCCGACCCTGTGGCTCAGAAGGGGCCGTGCTGCCCCAAGGACAGTTTGGGGCCTGTACTGACGCCTCCGGGTCTCTTTCCCCCCGCAACCCCAGGCCTCCAAGAACGCTGAGAATGCTACCACGGGGGAGACGGCTGAGGAGAACGAAGCTGGCGACTGAGCAAGCCCCGCTCCCCTCCCGTAGCGCCCGCGTCTCTCACGCCCCGACCGAAACCAACCTGGCGCTGTTTGTCTCTACCACCGCGAGCAAACCGCCTGGACGTCCCACCAACTCCAGCCCGCTCTGCCACTGGGGGAGGCTCCCTCCGACCACGCCACCAAGCTACGAAAACAATAAAATCAGGAGTAAAACCCAGTACAGAGCCCCTTTTTCTAACCTGCCCCCTGACCCTCCGTAGAGGGGCACGACTGCCCCTGCCGGGGGAGAGGGAGTGGAGAGAGCTCAACCCCCTTCCCCTTCTCCCCATTTCTTCCACAGACTTTTCTCCCTCCAAGTCTGGCTGCTGTTGCGCTCACCGGGCTGAGCCAGCTGCCTCGTAGCCCCTCCCCGCCTGTGAGGCCTGCGTCTCCCTCTCACCTCTACACAACGTTTTTTGCCCTGCTCCCCTCCCTCCCCCCCCTTTTTTTTTTTCTCCTTTTAAGCCTGTTGGTTTGGATCTCGGGAGAGGCCGCGTCGGGTCCCTGGTGGCAGCGGAGTTCTGTTCAGCGTTGGTTTGCCTATAAACTCTATTTTTTAATACCGGCTGTGATCTGCGTGTTTTTAATCGACTCTCCAAGCCCCCTTTCGAGCGGTCCTCCCTCTGCACGCTTGGAGCAGGGGCCGTTCTGTCTCCAGACCTTGCCCCAAAGCCTTTGGGTGGGTTTTTGCTGGCAGTTTTTTTTAAACACCCCTATGTCACGGGGGTCCATGCCCCCCCGCTCATACGCAGCAGGTGCTTGTCACCCATTCCTCACCCTGCTGCTTGCTGGGAATGCAGCAGCCTGTCTTCATTCATCTCTAGTCAGGAGGATCTTTTTTTCTACAAAGGCTGTGGCTGGTCTGTAACCACGTGGGGCCTCGGCCAGGCCCCTGGCAGCCGGGGCTGGGGAGCACATCTCAGGGGGACCCTGCTACCAAAGTGTCCATCAATAAAAGGAAATGCAAGGCTGAGGTTTTTCTCCCTGAATTTTTTTTCCACCCCTCCCCATCCCTGACCTGCTGCCAGCTTTTGGAAGGGGCCTTTGGGGGTGTGGATAGGGCCGGAGACACCACAAGGGATGCTCTGAACAGAAGCAGGCTCTGAAATTGCCGGTGGCTTAGTTTAGGCAGCTCCATGAACTCGAGGGAAAAGGCAGAGACCTTGTTCCCCGCCAGGAACATTTTGGCACCTACAAGCAATACTCTGCTGCAAAGGGGGGGCAGAGCAAACCCCTCTGCTCCCCCACACGGATTCACAGACCACTGAGACTTGCTGGAGGTTTATTTAATTTTCTATTCCTTTTCGATACCAAATTGTACCTCTTGATACAAGACAAAAGGCAAAAATGCTCTGGTTGTTAAAACAGGAATGCTCTGTAACCGACTGACTGCTTTTTTTTTTCCAAATAAAATCGACTTAGTGACGTTTGTGGACAGAAGGACAGGTCTGCTGCTTGGGGGTGCGGCAGGGTGGGTGGTGGCAACTCTTGCTAGGATCCTTCCAACCCCCTTTTATTCCAGGAGGTTGAAAGCAGCTTTGAAATGTGCCCACCTCTGGGGTGTGGGGGGCAGCGGGGGCACTGCGGGGGGGGTGTTTTCAGCGGGGCAGATGCTTTGAGCAGGGGTCGGACTCCGTGTGACCTCCCTCCCAAGCCTCATTTTCTGTGATTTGGAGCTGAGCGTGCTTCTCTCCCGCTGGGGTCATCTCCCGGGAGCCGCGGACGTGTCAGACCCTGACACGGAGCTGCTTAAAGTTCCCACTGGGCGAGTGAGACCACTGGCCCTGCTGGCTGCCCTGTCTGGCCCCAGGAGGAGCGGGTGCAGGGAGCCGTTGTCCTGGGCTGTGGGCACAGGACGGATTGCCAGGCGGAGAGGTCAGTGCCAGGCTGCCTGTGGCTGCGGCTGCAGGGGGGTGTGGGCACTGCAGCGTCCCCCCGCTTTGGCGTCTGAGCGGCACCCGCGTGGCCTTGTTCCCCGGGCATCGTGTGGGGTTGGCTACGGCTCCCCTGGGGGTGGGGGGGTCGGCTCGTGTGTGTGTGTGTGTGTGTGTGTGTGTGTGTGTGTGTGTGCATGAACGCTTGTGCTTTGGCTTGGTATATGTGTGTGCACAGGCACTTGTAAATCAGCTTGACACACCTGTGTGCACAAGCACTTGTGTTTTGGCATTGTGCACCCCTGCCCGTGGATGGACACTTGTGCTTTGGCTTTGCGTGTGTGTGCGTGGACACACGTGCTTTGGCTTTGCACGCCCCAGTGCTCTGGCTCTGCCCACTTGTGCCTTGGCTTCGCACGTACTCGCATGTGCACGGGGCTCCCGCCCGAGCCCAGGCCGCCGCCTCGCTCAGCCCGGGGGATGGTGGCCGCCTCGATTCAAAATGGAGGCCAGAGGCGACGCGCAGAGCGACCTACACTTCCCAGGACGCCCCGCGGCGGGAGGAACTACACCTCCCGTCATGCCTCGGCGGAAGAGGGGCGTGCCCCCTTTGTGACGTCAGCACCCTCCCCTCCTGGAACTGGGTTATAAATAGCGGTGGGCGGAGGCGTGCTGGTCTCTCTCAGCCGCCGCGGTCGCCATCTTGTTGGGGGCTATCGCCATCCGTCTGCATCCGGCGCCAGCGCCGTCGCCCG